TTTTGAACTTAATTTGTTAATAACTAATTTAGTCCAAAAAATCGACTGCAGGAAACATATAGGTTTTTATTACAGAGGTCCACACTACTCAAAACAACTGTCGTTTGCCTGGCCGGACGAGTGTCAAAAACAAGGTACTTTTTTTGCTTATTTCCCTGGCCTATTTGCAAATTTTTGCATTAAGGTCTCCAGCAATGATTTTCACGTCATGACGTGGACATCGATCATATTCTTTGTCTAAGGTGTCATAGAATTCATCTTTTTCATTATCCTCCTTTTCTTCCGTAGGTGCGTGTACACTAAGTAAGCTATAATTAAAGAATTTTCCTTTAAGACGTAGATAACATATTCTGTTGTTTATGGGTTTAAAGTTAAGGACTAATTGCTTTGCTTTTTTACTGACTAGAAAACCACTGCCAAACTCGTGTCGGCTGCTATGTCCGCTATAGTATATATTGTAGTCTCTTTTCTCGATGATTCCTGAACCAGTCCATCTCATCTCTTGAATCGCTACTACATCGGCTTTCATTTTATCAAGTTCTTGTGTTAGCAGTCTAAGAGCACCTGGGGCATAAAGGGTTCGTACATTCCATGTGCATATCCGTAAATCGTTATTCGATCGGCATAAATTCATAAATGAAACATCGGCAAATTTAAATTTGCCGTACTTGGTAATTAAGTTCATATGGAAAGAAATGTATATTTGGTTGCTAATCAACCAATATTCCGTTGATTTTTACAAGTAAAGTCAAGGTTGGGATCGGCTAGCCGAAAAAACAAAACGTGCCTTTTTAAGAATTCATAGGCGGATGGATGTCTCCGATATCGAATCATCTATTTGAAAAGTGTCTACGCAGGGATCACTTAACGCTCAGATTGGATGAATTCTTAAAAACCATGAATAAAATTTAGTCTGGTCGAATTCTTTTAAAAACCATGAATAAAATTTAGTCTTTATTATCTCACAGATATTTTTTTAGTTCACAAAAACAAATGACATTAACTGATTACCTGTCACAATTATTTATTGAAATACTGATTAAATTAAATATTAAAAAAATCTATAAAGATGTGGGTCGGCACTGCCGACCCTGACCGGCCGCCACTGGTTAGAATCCAGGTATACATGCGTTAATGACATTTGAAATTATTTAAAATAAAGCATTGTTTAAAACTAAAAAAAAAAATACATAATACTTACCCACATAGTGATGGGACTATCGATTACTGTATACTAGCGACTAGTCGACTACTTTTAAATATCGATTAGTCTAGTCGACTAGTCGGGGGTAGGCGTGGTCAGCTGTCACCTGTTACTGTCAGTCTCAGTTTGTGTTTTGTTTGATGGGGACAACGCAACAATGTAAAAATACCCAGGATAGAACCTATGAATAAAATTCTTCGGTCCAAAGTAGTCACTAACACTAGCCCACCTGAACCGACCATAGCCGACTCTTGGTTCCCGGAATGCTTTCTCTTGATTTATGAATGAATTTCTTGACTTACCTTCTATTCTAGAACTAGTCGTTTGTCATTTAACTGTGTACAATTGACCAGTCAAAACAATTGACTAGTCGATAGTCTGAGTACTAATCAGTTAAACCACTATTCAACTAGTGGATTACCCCATCACTAGACCCACATCTATTTTGCTATTATACTAGTTTTTCATCATCATCAAGGCCTTTCATTCCTGATGGAATGTTTGCTGTTCTTACTTAGAGCTCTATGATGCATATTGTGGTGATTCACTGTGCATTGTTTGTATTTGGGATGTATTATAGATGAAAATTTAAGTTTTGTTGAACATTTTAAGTTTGTTACAAACAAAATAGCAAAAAAAATCTATGCATTGGGAAGAATATCAAAAAATTTAAGTTGCTGGTCTAGGTTGACCATATATAAATCGATTATTGCTCCCCATCCCTATTTTTGCTCTACATTGCTGTTTTTAATGAATGCTTCTCAAATGAACGTACTGCAGAAAAAACAAAATAAAGCCTTAAGGATAATATTAGGATGTAGTGTATACACTAGTAGAACTGACATGCTAACAATGGCAAATGTTTTAAGTGTAAGACAGACAATTGTATGTAATAATATGATTTTTGTTTATAAAATGTTAAATGGTCTGATACCTGTGCATTTGTGTAATAATTCTACCTTTGTTTGAGATGTACATGAACACAACACACGTTCTAGAAATAACTTTTATCTGAATAGGGTCAACACTAATTTTGGTCAGAACAATCTTTTTTATAGGGGATTAAAGCAATACAATGAATTACCGGAAAACATTAAGGCTTCTGGAAACTTAGCTCAATTTAAAAATTTATGTAAGATATATGTTAAGCAAAGCATTGTGATTTAATTTTAAGGGTATAAATTGATGTATTTATATGTATATTTTTCTAGCCATGTGCTATTAATAAAGATTATTATTATTATTATTATTATTATTGTTTATGTATATTGTCAAAGTTTGTTGTATGATTTGCTCTCATTACAATTTTCTTGCACTTATTTCAATCTTTGCATAGGTCCCTCCAGTTTTTCACTTTCGGTATTTGATTATCAATCTCTCTGTGGTTCTTCTCCTTGGTCTTTCAGTTTCTGGTTTCCATCTAGTAACCTTATTAAACAGTAAGTTGTTTTCCCTTCTTTCTACGTGTCTCAGCCATCTCAGTCTCTGCACTTTAATAAATCTAATTATATCTCCTCCCTTCATTATATTTCTTTTTTCATGGTTCATTTTTCTTCCCATTTCTTCATTGTCCATTCTTATTGGGCCCATAATTCTTCTGCAGATTTGGCTTTAGAATATTTTTAATCTTTCTTCATATTTCTCTGCCAGCGCATTGTCTCAGCTGCGTTTCTGCATATGATATCAGATATTAAAATAAACTTCCATTTTTTGATATTTTTGTATTTTGTATTATTTTCATCATACATAAATTATTTCACCGAATTATGATTTTTAAATGATATAATGTTGACAGCGACAGTACATGCTGATTATCACTGTTATACTTCAAAAAATAAAAAATTGAAGATCAATAAAAATGAACACAAATGACATGGTTGTCACTTTAAAGCACGCACAGCAAGTGTTGTTAATGCAAACTTTACACAAAGACAAAATAGCCATTAGGCGTATGATAGGCGCCAGTCTAGTGCACGCCAGTATCTATTACTAACTATTTTATAATTTTTTTTTTTTTAATTTTGTTCACAATAAACTTTTTAGAGATTAAAAGGCATTATTCCACATCAATATTGTGTAATAAAAGCTATAAAAATTGTTAAGTTTTATTATTTTTATTAGTAAATGTTTGTTTTTGTCTATTAATTTTTTTAAGCTATTGTGAATTCTGACTATAAATACAAATAATCATACAAATAATAAAATACAAATCAATTTTAATTTATATAATCTAAAAAAATCGTTGTTCATTGAATTCACTACTGTATCTGGTACAAATTTATGGATTTTATAACATGTATCAAAGTGTTGAGGTTCCAAACTGTAGAAATGTGTTTTTAGACTTGCTTTTTTACAAATGACAATTCTTTTGAGTGTATGAGATGTTCCACAATGTTCCAATTACAAACAGGATCCACTGTTTGGAATGTGATAACTTCAGTAATAATAAATGACTTTCCCCAATTAAAATATTTAAAAATTACTAAAAATATCGATTTTATTCTACTTTCCTTGCTTATAACTTTAAAACAATTAATTTTGGAGCAAAGTCGTAATAAAATAGCATAGGGACAATTAATTTTCTATAAGATGCAGCTGGTTAATAATGTTTGGATTTATTACCCTTACTGCAAAATAGCAATAAATACAAACAAAAAGGTGGAAACAAGCCTTTTATTATTCAATGTTTTTCAACCACATACACTTAAGACCTTCATAATTCTTTTGGAAAATCTTTCTTTTATAACATAATAAAAAAGCCCTCTAAATTTTATTAAAATAGATTTAATATATTTCGCATAATGTTGCAATCAAATTTGTTTAAAATCTTGCCCAACAAATACTAGACCATATAGTAAATTGTTTCACTTATAAAAACGCACTTAACCTATCTAACGTACTTTATTTAATTGATTTCGGATTATTTGGCCGGCCTCAGTAATGTTTAAAATGATAAACAATTTGTTAATGATCTCATGATCATAAAAATCATAAAAATTGGCGAAAATCGCGTAACGTTGATTTATTTAACACATCATACATAACATTATAGAAACGTACTTTAATTGCGGCCAAATCCGAAAATTGCAAAGAAAACTGCACTCTTCACCTTTAAAACTCTTTGATTTTTGTCAATAGCCGATCAAAAAATATCTAATTTTTTGTAGCTTCAAGCGATATTTTTGAGACAACGGTTTATTTTACACAAAAAGTTAATTTTTTGTTATAAATAAATAACAAAAATAAACTTTTTTGTTCAAAACTGTCTCAGCTACATTTTTTATTTAAAATATTTTTTTTATGATGCACAAATTCTTGGTAAATCGATTTTTCCCGTTTTTTCCTCTAGGAAGCAAGACTGGTTTTAGGAGAAAGCCGGGAGTAGGAAAGTAAACTTTTTTGCACGTATTGCACTTTCAGTGTGAATTTTTCTATAGACAAGGAACCCAATACCCTAGTGCGTTCGGTTTTTTATAGCACACTGTTACACTCTGAACGAAGCTTATCCTAGGAAACACTAGCGTTCTTAAAACTTGTTCTTTTCTTTTCTCTAACTTAATGAAAACAATTTTTCGCAGCACAAACTTTAGATACTGGTCACTACTCAAATAAAAGATAGGATCCTTGATGACGAGTAGATATTGCTTCCGTCGGTAAATAATTTTTACACTTTTACATATATGTATGAATATAACCATGAAATATAACTATTTAACTAATATTTCTGTAGGTTACAGAATTTTCCACTATCAGCGTTAACAAAAGAGAAATCAATACCTTTTAATTATTTTTTCAGGTTTTTGTTATGGAGATGCCACTCTACAACTTGGACTATTCTCGTTGGCAACAAAATTTAGTAGGAATTCTTCAGGTTGAGATGGTTTACCAAAAGGAACAAAAAGTACTTAACCCTTTGATTGAACTTACGGTGGACTCTCGTTTGGCTTACAGTGATAAAACACCTAATGGAGGAAAAACACCATGGAAATATTATTCCCATGCTGAAGAAAAGCGTTATATGAACTGTACATTCAACAACCAATACGATACAGAAAAGCATGGTTATCCTTATGATTGCACTATGGTACCATTATTTGAATTAGGTGCTTTATACCACGATTATTATTTGTTAAATCTTAGGTTACCTTACAATTACACAACTAAAAAGAATATAGGTCTCGGTAAAGTAGAAGATCTGTATGTACACACTATTTATATGAATGGCGGTTTTACAAAGATTTGGCTTAGTCTTAAGACAGTGTTTTTTCCAATACTTCTAGCTATAATGACCTGGTTTTGGCACAGAGTTCACAAGTTAAATCGTACTCCAGTATTGTTAGAATACATGCTGATATATTTAGCAGGTACTTTAGCTTTTCTTAATCTTCCTATAGAATATCTCAGCCTTATTTTTGAAATGCCTTATATGTTACTATTGAGTGATATTCGTCAGGGTGTATTCTATGCGATGTTACTTTCGTTTTGGTTGATTTTTGCAGGTGAACATATGCTTATTCAGGAACAAGGGGAAAGAAATACTATAAAACGCTACTGGAAACATTTGACTACAATAATTGTAGCATGTATGTGTTTACTAATATTTGATTTATGCGAAAGAGGTGTTCAGTTAGTTAATCCATTTTATTCTATTTGGGTGACACCTGTTGGTACTAATTTGGCTCTTGCTTTTATTATTTTGGCTGGGATATCTGCATGTTTATACTTTGTTTTTCTATGTTATATGGTTTGGCGTGTTTTCAAAAATATAAGCGTGAAAAGATCTGTTTTACCAAGTATGTCCCAAGCTAGACGTCTTCATTATGAAGGTATAATCTATCGCTTTAATTTCTTGATGTTGGTAACACTGATTTGTGCATCTGTAACAATAGTTTCATTTATACTTTCTCAAATTGATGAAGGCCAAAACAAATGGGATGAAACTATGGACTTGGAATTGTCTTCTGTAATACATACTGGAGTATATGGAATGTGGAATATCTATATCTGTGCCATGTTGATATTATATGCTCCGAGTCACAAACAATGGCCTGCAGATCCGATTTGTACAGAAGGAGAGGAGGTTGAATTTAACCGTATACCAGCTGAATCCACTTCTAATGAGATTTCTGCTTTAACTAGTTTCTCCGCCAAAGCCAGTATTGATTAAGTATTTGACTTCTTGTGTTTTTTATTTATTTATTTTTAAGTATTATTTTACACATATTTTTACTGACATTTTTTTGTAAGTGACATTAAAGAAAATATAGATGAAAATTATAACGAAAGTAAAAAAATAGAAGCAAAAGGGCAGAACTACAACTTAAACTTTCAAAAACTGAGAAAAGTAATATCTCACATTGCTTCCTGTGTTTTTAAAATAATAGCAGTACATGCATAGATTTGAAAACAGGCATAGCTGTTTGAAAGCAGATATAAAGATGTTTTGAAGCTTTGTTATACCTCCAAACATTGCTCCTACAATATTTGAAATATTCATGCTCTGACTGTATTTTTAGAGGTATAATACTTTTAAAGTAACAATTTTTGTCCGCGAACCATTTGTATACCTAAAAATTGTGCAAAATTTAAAAGGGAAATTCCCATTGGTTGGCTGTACCCCATAGTTTAAAAAAACTTACAATGAAGTAAAAACTTATGTTTGTAAAATGGTATATTTTTTTAAATTATCCAAAATGGATTTATAAATTTTCAGAACGTTTTAATTCTATCAGATCATCATCAGTGAAAAAGGTCTATAAAGTAGTTCGAACTAGCCACATAATGATGACCGTTTAATTAAGGAAATCCATAACCGTTTAGCTGTAGCTATGAAATATTTGATATTTAAACTTTTCCTATTCGGTAGGATTTACTTAGTTTATCACTGATCTAGAATGTTCAACTTGAATTATCTTTGAAATAACGTTCAACACATTTGAATGTTCTTCACTGCTCAATGGCCCAGGAATTTCTCATAGAAGTTTAAAAGTTCGAAAATCGTTCAATATCTATTATTGAAGAACCTCTTGTTGTTGTTGTAGCACTTGGAGGTTTTGATTTCAAGAAGTTCTTTCTTCGAAAACGCAAGCAATTGGCCATTCTACTAACGAAAGTAAAAGCAAGTCTATCACGTAACCATAAAGTAGATGACATTAATGAAGTTGGAGTGGCATCACGCGACAATAGATCTGTAGGGTTCGAATATGAATTTGAACATAGTCTTACTCTTAATTTCAGAATGTCAATTTCAACCCAAGACTACTGTGGAATCTGTCCAATGGAATATGCTACTGAACGATATTGTGAGAACTCTTTGAATACGAGCTGACAATTTGGCGGTTATAAGAGCACCACACAACTCCAATTGAGGCCTAATTGAAGCCCTCTTCTCACAAGTGTGGTGTGAAGTTTAGTAAGGACAGGGTTGTTATATCTTACATGTCTGGGAACTATAAAAGAATTTATGTGAGTGAGCTCGTAGCGTAGATTTACCCATATTGTATGAATAGTATGAATATATGCTGGAGCAGTCTCATCCTTAGATAACCGTTACATCCACAGTTTTTGAAGGAGAATTTTTACTGTGTTAACACACGGACTTGGTAACACTAATGAATTAAACACCTGTGAGACACTGGATATAATTATGCGTTTTGTAACTGTTTTGGAAGAACTGTCTAATAAAGCCTCTGAATTGCACATTGGAATCTGCAATATGTATGAGCTTGAGGTTCGTTATACAAATAAACTTTGTATTTAGTGCACGATGAAAAACACTATAAAATGCTATGTATTTATTTATTGCGAATACTGTGCGTCCGGCTCGAAAGACCAATATGTTTAGCTGTAAGCTAGAAATACTTTGTATTTACTGCACAATAAAAAACACCATGAAATGTTTTGTATTTATTTGCATTACTCAGAGTAACAATATTACTTGTCTGAATTCTGAAAGTGAACTCTCATATGTTTGGTATAAGATGCGTACGCATCCATACGCATTGAATTTAGAGCAAATAGAAATTTTTTATTTTTTGAGACTTCAATTTGTTCAAATAGTAAAAATATGTCTACGAATGAGTTTATAAATAAAATATAGAATTAATGTCACTTAAAAGTATTTTATGTACTTAAATAGATGTTTCTAGAAATCCATGTAGGCAACTGACTTATTTTGATTTTTATGTCTTCCCGAATAATGTGTAAAAGTATTATTTTTTAAGTTTTTATGTTTATTTAAGTGTAATATCAGTATTTTTTAGATTAATATGTATCTGTGGTATTGAAAAATCAATTGATATATCAACCAGTATTCATGTTCTTTATGTGAAATATGTGTCTAGTTTGTCTTGATCCTGTATCCATAAAAATCAATTTATGGATGAAGTTGTTTCTGTGTATTCCGTTGTATCCAACTACACATAATCCACAAGGTCAGAATACTATTGTTATTTATTGGTATTTACTCATATTGAAAAATTTAATATACTGAGTACAGTTATGCTTTAGTAGACATAATTAAGTATATAGTCTAATATCAATTAACATAACAAATTGCCAACCATAAACGATCAAGAATATCATATAAAATAAGCCTTTCAATGTTTTTTTTATGTTTTTATTAAAACAACCCAAAAACATTTAGGGTAAAGAAACACACACACAGCTGTTTTAACCGAAGCGTTTAACGCGTCGGTGGCTTCGTATAAAGACAGACACAGCGTTTCTAACCGAAGCGTTTAACGAGTCGGTAGTGATTTTAAACACGATTTGTGTAGAGTTTGATAGGGTTTTTGACACGACGTATTGTATTTGTCAGTATTGTACATGCGTTGAAAATTTTACAAGAAAAAAACAACGAAAACGTAGGATGTGGATACATCCAATTATCAAAAAAGGGGAACAAAAAGGGCATTTTCATACGTTGTTTGCTGTGCAACGAGACGATGAAACATTTTTTAACTTTACTAGGATTAGGATGACGCGAGATACTTTTGATAAGTTGCTCACAATTTGTCAAGATATTTGTCAAGAGATACACGTATGAGAAAATCAATAACACCAGAGGAAAAATTGGTAATAACTATTCGGTAAGCAAATAAATTCTTAGCACTATATTCACTCTTCCCCATATCCCAAAGGGTTGGTCGGTTTTCTACTTCGGTAATAAGCTTTTCTACATCAAATTTTTCTCCAGCCATTTCTAAAATTCAAAAATCGAGACAAAAACGCGCGTGTGTGTACAGAGCTATCAAAACACAATGAACATCCAACGCCTCTCGTTTTTAAAACAGATGCGATTCCAGACATCTACCACCAACCGACTCTGTTTTAAAACCTCCTTGGGAAACGAGGCGGTCAGAACCGCTGTGTATGTTTTACACCATTATAATTCAATACATGATGCATCGACTTGGAAACCGATGCGTTTAACGCTTCTGTTAAAACCAATGTGTGTGTCTTTACACTTAAAGTGAAGTACGCACGGTTAAAATTTTGAATGCGTTTGATAAACACATGAATCTAGCGTTTGTTTATAGTTGGAACGTGTTATGTATTTTTGTTCCTTTTAATAATTCTTGTAGAATTTTGTAATACGTTTTATTTTTTTATACATTTTTTAACAATTATGCATTACGCTTATTATAGTTGTATACTGTGTAATCAAATTTTATATTAATAAACATTTATAATCAATATATTTTAATTTTTCATTCCTCACATGGACAATATTAACACACAATAATTGCCAATAAAATGATTATTTAGATATCTATTTTACGTTTATATAAAAATAGGTTTTCACGGTCAGTCAGAATTAACTCAATCGATTTGGTTCGTGTCTTTTTTGAGTGCCCTTTACGTCTACCCCCTTGTAAAAATAAGGTTGTTGATTGCGGTAATTTAACATGCCCAGGAATGAAAACCAAAAAACCGAAACGAATTCATGCACAATATCCACAGGTGAAATATGAATGTGTCTAAACCAGAAAAACTTTCTGCTTACCTACTCCGGAAAATGTTTCTTGATGAGTATGCTTCTTTTATGTGGGTGCCGTGTTTTTAACCACGTGTTAGACCTGTCAATGAGGAGCGTCAAAACAGGGATATTCATATTTGTGCTTTTGTGGAAGCTAGTGAACCCTGCAATAGTGTACAAATTGCTAGGGAAGTTAACGCGAACTGTCCAGTGAGTTCTCAAAAGGAATGGGTATCACTGTTGTAAGATACAACCAACACAGGAACTGTTTCCGGAAGATAACTTTAGGCGGATGGAGTTTTGTGAATTTATGTTAGATAAACAGAATGAAAATGTACACCTTTTAAAAAACATTTTATTTTTTGACGAATCGTCATTTTCGTTACATAAAAAACTGTCCATCCGTTTCAAGGTATTATTCTTAGAAAAAGAAGCACCTCAGTGTTGCAGTGCGAACGCAGTATCTGCAAAAGTTAAATGTTTGGACTGGGATGTTAGGCGACCATATTGTCGGTCCATTTTTTATCGACGGAAACCTAAACGGGCCCAAATATCTATAACTTTCACAGAATGAGATCATTCCAGCAGTTCTATGCCTTCCCATTAATTTTCAGGTTTATGTCCAACAGGATGGGTGTTCGTCTCACAACTCTAGAGCAACTATGGACTTCCCCAATTAAACGTTTCCTGATCGACTGATAAGTACACGTGGTACAATTAAATAGCCCGCTAGATCCTGTGACTTAGCGCCTAACGATTTCTTTTTTGGGGGGGGGGGGGTTTCTCAAAGAAAACATTTATAGGTATCAGTTTGAAAGGGCCACACACCTAGTCGAATTAAGGGAAAATACTCAATTTCTCTGCAAGCATTACACCAGCCCTACTCCAAAATATGAGGAGCAATCTGTATGACAGATTTGGTTACTGTTTAGCACAAGGAGGTGGAATATTTGAGCCTTTAATTCATTAATCTGCTTTCCTAATTTTTATTTTTTGTTAGGTACATTTAACGAAGTTTGTAGGTTCTTAATTAGGTATACTTCATCTAATTTACTTACCGATGCACGTCATTATCATTGACAGAGATCGAAGTTGACATAGATGCCAAAGTATAAAAAAGTCCTGACTCCATTTTAAATCAAATAGGTCACATAATTATTGCAAAAATATCACCATCTCTTTGCAAC